AGAGTCATGAATTGCGGGGAGAAAACAGGGAATGCTTATGCAATGCTTCTCACAGCACATAAGGGAGGTAGCATCAAAAACCCAAGAAAAAGAAGCTAAAACTCTACAAAAAAAATATTTTCTTTTGTTTACGTGCAACTCAGCTGTGGAACTTACTGCCATAGTATGGTTGTGTAGGTCAAAAGCATAAAAAGATTCAAAAGGAATTAGATACAATCCCAGAAGAAAAATCTTTCAGGTATTACTGAATACATGAGGATAAAACTGCTGTCTCAGGAAGTACCTAGTCTGCAAATTAATAGAGACATGGAGAGTTTACCAGAGGAAGGGGCATTATGTTTTTAGTACCTTTTCTTTAAGAATATCCACCTAACTTCTCTCAGAAATATATTACCAGGTAAAAAGAACTTTGATCTGACACAGAATAGCTGTTCTGTGTTCCTGATACCTTCATCAACTGCCTTTGCAACTCTTCAGGGAGATGAGAAGATTATGGTAAATTGAAGGCAGTTATGGGGATTTTTGCTTTTCAGCTGTCTTTGCAGAATGTATATCTCAACGAGGCCAGAAACTCTTGTCTTGTATTTCTACCTCGACTTGGATCTCAAGACTTTGCATTTGCTTCAACTGTTCTTTACAGAATAAATGATGTGAGGCTGTATGGAAAAGACAGTTCTGAATATATGCTAGGTTTATTCAAAGCTCCCACTTCAGAGGTCTTTTCTCCCTAACTCTGTAATCCCTGCACTCAGCAGCACCCATGCTCAATGTGCTTTGCAGTGCTTTGTCTTTGCTCAGAAAGGTCACGCTGTGGAGGATGCGGAAAGCAGCACCAGCTCAGGAAGGAGTTCACTGAGCCCTCGGATAGCCTCTGGTAATTCACTGTGTAGTGACTTGCGGAAACAAACCCCAAAACTCACAAAGGCTATTGAAGCAGGTATGTTTATTTACAGCATTGGGTGCATGGGGAGTAGCCTTGCCAAAACATGCACACCTACTCCCTTTGTTCAGCCCTTTTTATGTGATACAATGTTACATATGCATTAGTTGTGTTACATATGCATTAGCCATGTCAGCAAATTCCTGAAAACTGGGAGGGGAAATCATTAACATACACCACACCTCCAACTCTGCCTCAGAACGCCCCTTGAGGATCTTCATTTGGGGGTCTTTTGGATGAAGTAATAGTCTTCCTCGGCTCTGACCTTTCCAACTTTGCAAGGAATGTGGTGCTGGCAATGGCCACTCACCTCAAAATCGGTTTCATCTTGTCTCCTTCTCTCAGTCTCCCTTAACAATCTACAAGGTCCCTCTCAAAGCTCCTCATTGCAACTCCAAGGCCTCTGCTTCTGCTAGAATCCTCATTATAAAGTTAACCATATCTTGTCTGCAAGTTAATATAAGCAAGCAAGGCCTCATTCTAATTTAACAGTATTCTATCTAAAAATTAACTCTATTAAGCATCTAAGGCTACAGTCTTACAGTCTAGACAATCAAAACTGAAAACATATCCTGACAAGGGTCTTGCTTGTCTGAGTCTTGCTGCCTTCTGGGAGAGGGAAGGAAGGGTACCTCCAATCTGGTATGAGGTGTCACAAAGGTGCTGATGAGCCCATCTTCCACTTACAATCTTCAAATTTTTTGAGCAATTTTTTCCTATATAAAGGGATTCAAGTGTACAGAACTTCCTGAGCAAAACTAAGCCTAAGCTTCTTTTGAAAATCTGATCAGTCCAGTCATAGGGGTGATTCTGGGAAGACTAATTTTGAAAAATCTGGCTAAGCAATGTTTTTGAACCGTGGAACAAGGTGTTTTTCCTGTCATTAGAGGGAATTTCTTAATATTTTGTAATTCAATTTGAAGGAAGTTCTCAAGGGACACAGCTCATCTCTTCGGTGCACACTTTCCAGCATCTGCAGCATACAGTGAGATCTCGACCAAGTATATTGTTGAAATGGCCTAAGCACACTCACAAAACATGAGTGATAATAACTAATAGGAAATATATGTGATTATCTCACAGTCTAACGTGCCTTTGTCTCACACTTTTCCACTGTATATTTTAATTCATTCTTAGGACCTCAAAGACTAGAATGACAGGGCAGGTGTACAATATGTCTATATGTTATCAGAAGAGATTTAAACGAGGACCAGATTGCCTTCCTTGGCTACTGGAAGGACCAGACACATAGTAGCATCGAGATCTCTAAGTCAAGCAAATACTGCTCACTAGCCTAGACAGAGAATTGAACCAATAGAACTCTATTACTCTGGGTATTTTGAGTAGCTTGACTTTGCTTACACACTTCTTGGCTGTCTTCAGAGCTCTGGGTGTATCCCAGGATATAATCGGCATTCACATAATGCAAAAGATCAGTAGCACTGCCAGATGAGAGTTACAAAAGCACACTGCATATCTGCCACTGCATCTTAGTGATATATGACCACTACATCCTGCAGATACCAGATCTGCACAGGAGCCTTCTGATTTCCAGTTGGACAAGGCTTCAGCTGTGCAGGGAACCATCAGAACTGACTCCTAGGTAGCCTCTACCACTGTAGAAGGCTGCTGGCTTTCAACAGCCAGGACAAGGCAAGGAGGACTTGTGAACTCCAAGAGTGACCATAGAAAGCTTAGTTGTCTCTTCATGGCAGAAGACAGGAGGTTTCTATCATCCCTACTCTGTCCCTGGACTTCCAGATATTGTGACATTCAAGGCCACTTGCCTTGAAGGGGAGTCCAAAGTGCGTGATTAAACATGACCTCCTCCCTAAGCAAAACGTATTCAGTGACTGACTTTCAGCAGGACATGGTTACTGCGTATTTATGTGATTACTACAGACAACAGACTCAAGGACTGATGGAGTCCTGTTCATATCAAAACGGAGGGCCTCACATTAAAAGAGTCAACAAGCTGACTCATGGTACTCTGACATGCTCAAGAAGAGTCATCATGGCTTACCTTTTCCATCTGCATAATCTTACCAGCTCTAGAGAGCCTGAACACACCCTTTGTTTCTCTCAATCCGATGACATAACTACAGAGAAAAAGTGTTTGGCAGCACAGAACCCATTTTGCTTGAAGACATTGGACAGCAGGTGAAATACAAATACAAATTTTGCTTCAGTGACATCGAGCATCTATGAAAACACTAGCTCCGGTGAAGATTCCAGCTGCAAAGACCTTCCTGTAGAGACCACAGAGAAATTAACCAGTGAATTGATGATGCATACAGTTAGAAAATAATCTGAAATTAAAAATTAATTAAGTTTCATCAGTGGTTCCCTGAAAATAAGCAATTAATTATTTACAACTTATAGATACATATTTATCTTTTAGCATTTTAGAGGTCCAGATGAACATTGTTTCTACATTAAAAATACCTCAAACACCATCACACTCCATTTTGGTTTTTCCCCCAAGGAAAAATAAAAACAAAGCCTTGAAAAGACAGAAACCGACCCTCATGCTCATTTGCTCTAAGCACAACACAGAATAAAGAGGAAGGACTTAGGTGGGGAAACAATTCATCACCACTTCAGCTTGAGCCTTGACTTATAGCATCATAGTGCCCTGACAAACCCAGCCACTAGCTATCACCATTTTTTTCATTCCAAGGAAGGTGTCAGACCATGGGCAGAGACAAGAAACTTTGGGAAAGTACTTTTGGTTTCTTGGAGATTGGTTTATGCCCTGAAATTGGAAGCTTAATCATACTTCTGTTAGAGATTGGGTTTTTTTATTTGGGTAGGGGGTTTTTGGGGGTTGTTTGGGTTTTTTAATCCTTACTATTGTAGCAATAGGCATTCCCTATCCACCTCTAGACCTTTCTGGCATCATTCTAAATCATTTTCTTCAGAGAGGAGTTTTACATTCTGGCCTTAAAAGACGACTATGGATTATGCATTCATTATACTTCTGAACACAGGATGAGCCCTTGTAAGTATTTGGATAAGGGACAGCCTTTGAGAGCCCAATATCCTGTGGGAAATGCTATGGCTGATTCATCAGGTGCCAATATTCTGCCTGGTAATTCACAATTGGTACTCTTCCAATTAGCAGTAGGAGACTGCTAATACTGCCAGCTGCTACCTGGAATGCCTTTCTTATCTGTTTGGGGTTTTTTCCTTGTCTGCTTGTCCTCTTGTATCTTTTTAGAGAGATTCTGCAAGAAGACAACGCCATTGTAACACTCAATTAACCGATGCAGTCACAAAAAGGGCAAGTACTGTATAAACTAGAGATAAGGCAAAAGAACAGCAAACTGAAGAAGGCAGGAGGTTTGGTGGGTAGGAAGCATTCCCAAGCGTGAGGAGGACGGTCTGAGCCAGCGGAGTGGCTGTTTTCTCCCCTGGGGGATGGCTTGATGGGGGGCACATGGGTGTGCGTTCTTTTCAAGGCACAGACAAGTGACAAGTCGTGACCTTCTGCATTTGCCAGCTGGGGAGAGAGGCGTAGATCCCGCAGGGCTCACGGCCATTTATTTGACCCTAGTCATTTCAGGGGATAACCAGAGCCGGCACACACGGCGGTGTGCAGGCCTGGCTTCTTGTATCTGCCCCGGTGCGACAGCGCCCGCGGCTCCGCAGGACGCTGCGGGCCGGAGGGATTGCGCTGCGGGCCGGAGGGATTGCGCTGCGGCAGCGCTGCCGGGAGCAGAGAGCCGGGCTGGCAGGGCTGGGGAGCAGGAATGCTGCCCTGCAGTCCCGGGCCGCGCTCAGCAGCGGGTTGGCCGGGCGGGACCGGGAGCAGCACCTCGGCCCGACCCCGCGAGTGCCCCGTTGGACGCGCGGAGCCCGAGGCTCAGGCGGCCCCAGCGCGCCCCTCCCGCTGCCCGGGGGCGGGCAGGCCGGGCTGCCGGCGCCCCCCGCCGCCGGTCGCCATGGCGACCCGCCTGCCCGCCCCCTGCGCCTCCCGCGGGGCTGCTGCCGCCGCAGGGTCCGGCTCCGGCGGCGCCGGCCCTGCTCCAAGGGTTCTCCGCCTTCCCGCCGGGAAGAGAGTCCCTGCGCTCCCGCGGGCAGGGCCAGGCCCGGCCCCAGCCCCGCTGCGCCACCGGGCCCTGCCCGGGGTGGGAGAGGAGGAGGAGGAGGAGGGACTCCGCAGCGGCAACAACTGACGTGTCCCCGCCATGGAGCTCGGCGTGATTCATCAGCGGCGGCGGGGCGGCAGCGGGATGCCGCGCTCCGCTCCCGCGTAGGCACTGCTGCGGCGGGGGCAGCCTCGGCACGGCTCTGCCGCCCGCACCGCCTTCCTCCTCCTCCTGCTCGCCGCCTGCTTCTCTTCCCCCGCGGCTAGGCGAAGATCCCGAGGGAGGCAAGATGGAAGAAATCCTGCGAAAGCTGCAGAAGGAGGCGTCGGGGAGCAAGCACAGGGCCATCAAGGAGAGCTGCACCTGGGCCATCGGTACGGGGCGGGGGGCGCGGGCTGACCCCGCCGCGGCCGGGCTGCGGCGGGGAGCGGAGCGGGGCAGGAGCCGCCGATGGAGAGGTTTTGTAACGGCGGGGGCAGGGAGACCTCAGCAAACTTGTTCCGCGCCGGCCGCTTAGCCTCCGGCGGGTGGGGAGCGACCGGAGCGCCTCGGGCTCTTCAAAATGCCCGGGAGCTCCGCGCTGCTGGAAGAGGCCGTGGCACCTGCTGCCGGTCCCGGAGAGTATCCGTGTCCCTCGCCCTCCCCACCTCCTGGGTCTGTTTCGTGGCGCTTGCCAGGCAGATACGGGTATCAGTAGCTGTCAGTTTCCCTGTATGTTTGGGGGGCGCTGTCTTTTCCTTAAAAGCCCCCCTCCTTCCCCTAAATCATCGTGAAAAAACATCCAGCATAGTTTTTACGACTGGCTTGTGTTCGGGCATTTTAAAAGCTAGGAGTTTTGTTTTACTGGATTTCATGAGCTCTTTTATCCTTGCTGTATAATGGAAATGATCAGTATAACGAGTTCATTTTTAAGGGAATACAAGCTTAGGTGCATTTCAGCATCCACCCATTTTGCAAGATTGTTTGTGGCTTGAAGTGTTTTTTGATGCTAGGAACCTGGAGCACTCGTCAGCAAGACCCCTAAGTTACATCATCATAACTGTGATGCTTTCAACTGCTTTAAAGTTTTATTTTTCATCCATACATAGCTACAGCATTCTGTGATAATTCATACTTGTTGCTATCTTATTACTGGCCTTTCATCTTGATGTTCCATGGATTGCTTCATTAATTGTGTGTTACTCTTGCACAGAAGCTGTGCAAATATCCCATATACTGTTCCAGTTTTAGTATCTGTGCTGCCAAAGTGCAGATATGTGAAAGTGGAAAAAATGGTACTCCATGCCTTTACATTGGGCACCCTGTGGTTGAACTCAGAAGTTTCTTTCAAAAGTCCTATTGTTTCCTTTGATTATACAGAAACCTTGGATTCTCCTGATGCTGCTATCAAGATACCTCCATATCAGCTAAGGTAAGAACATTTAATGTCGAATCCTGTGGAGCTGTCAGTATTTGTAAAAGTGATGCAAAAAATTGAATTAAAAGTGAGCTAAACAGGGGAGGGGGCTGAATCTTTGTGATTTCTTTAGTTTGTAGACATATGTGTCTATGCTGATAGTAGTTGATAACTTTCTGATGATCTCTTGGCCTCTGGTCATGAATGAAATGTGTTAAAATGGGTATGTATAGTGGTGACACTGGTTAGAAAGGAGGGCTGCCTGACGGTCTGAAGAGTTTTCCTTCTAAATTACAGCTTTCAGTATAAACGATAACGTTTCCCAGCCTTCTCGGTGTGTTTGTTTTCTTTTAAATCTAAATCAGTTTTTGTTTACTGAAAATAAAAATTCTGGAAACTGAAAAGTTATCATATAGCTAGGACACTAAGACTGACTAAGAACTAAAATAATGTAGTTTCTATGCCTACTTCTTCCTTTAGCCTATTAGATTATCTTGAGTAAGCCTTCTTCCTTCTTCCTGCCTCCATTTGTACACCTATAAAATGGGGGACGTGCACAAGATCTCATTTTGGAAATTCTGATTGTTATGGAGTAAGCGGATATGCAAAATTATTCATTGTCCCTTCTGGCAGAACCATTGAGAATCATCAAAAGAAACTAGCAAGCACACTGTTTAAAACAGAAGGATGTTGTTTCACACAGCCTAATTCATTCAGATGTGAAATATTTAGGCTTGCCTTATTAAAGAACGTAATGGATGCTAAAAAATTACGTAAGTGCAAAAAGCACCTCAACAAATCCATGGAAGAAATTGATTGAAGTCTGTCAGATGCAAAGGTACCCCTTTTTATTCAGAAGTACTTTAGTCAGAGATGATTGAGTTTTTATAAAAGAGTATATAGGAGTTTTGCTGGATGTGCGGCCTGTCCTGTAGTCCTCCTCGATATCTATTAAGACCTGCTGACAGAGGTGCCATTTTTTTATCACAATATTACTCTCAGTCAAGCAGTCACTAAATAGGGAAGGTATAAGAGCAGTTCTTTTGCCATTCTAAAATCCTATCAGCTGCAGTCCACAAAAGGCCTCAATGAAGTGAGGGATGGATGCAGCACAGGTCTGACATGACCAGTGCCAGACACATGTATCTCCAACATAGACTGGAAACAACTGGATGACTAATTCCCAGTACCTCCATTAGAATTATGTTTACTTGTCACTGTGGCTGGAGAACACTTGGCTCTTCATCTTCTCTTTTATCAGCCTCTATCTTTATGGTCTCTCTTTTTAAGTGCTATTGTCATTCCCTGTGAATTAGTTAACTAGCTATTACTACACTACTTCCTTTTTTACTTGTCTACTACCTCTTTACCGATATGTCTACCTTTTTCTCTTCTTCTTCCAGTGTTCTTAATGATGTATTTGTTTAGTTTTTTCCTCTGTAAATCCTAATCGTTTTAAATAAAACTAAAGCCTTCACGGTGTCGATGTGAAGTAAACTCTTAACGTTAGACTTGTCAGTAACAATGCTCTCATTATTACTGAATGTTTTGCAAAGTAGAAGGTACACGGGAGAATTTGAATAAAAGCTTTTGTTGTAGGGCCTCTGCCACACATCCACAGACATTGTGGGACCTGTTGCTGAACTTACTCTTCCCTCTCTGATAACAAGCTACCACCAGGCTCTGGATCAGCACACTGAGCCACATCTTGGGCTGGAGTTCACCTACATGATGTGCAAATTAGACAAAAATTCTTCTTTGCTTGGTATTTGTTAAAGAGCAGCACTCTGATGGCTTGGTTCCTAACACTAGAAAAGAATAGCCTTGAAAGTAGAGTGGTGGCTATGACCAGAAATACAGCCAAGATACAGGATGGAGACATTCTAACCATGCCTCTTTCCTGCTTTCGACTTATATCAGGTGCGGGTTGTATCACCTGCTGTAATGCAGGTCAACCTCTGGCTGCTCATCCACTTGGAATCTGCATCTGCGCTTCACACTTTCTGCTATAATATTTTTGAGTGTAGTAACAGAGCATGGGAATGTGTTCTGGAATATTCCGTAATACTAGAACTAGAGTGAATCTTTCCACTAATTAACCCTAGTCCACAACTCAGATCAGAGATCCATAGCAACAACATACAGCAAGTGTTAAAGGCAGTGTGGCAAATAGTTCAGGAAATAATATATTTATGAGCTGAATTTTGAGTACTGTATGTGGGGGGAGGATGTTCCAACCTGTTTAGTAGTAAAGTTTGGTGTGTCCTTAGAATATAGTGGATATAAAGAAAAGACATCAGCACTTCTTTACAGGGTATTTTGTGAAGTTCTTGATCTAGAGCACATCCATACTGCATAGGGATGGAGAACAGGTTTATGAGCTGCCATGTCCAGTTGAGATAGATACTGGCTTGGTTAAAAAACAATGAATCAAGGAAGTACTCTAGTCAGTATTGTTCTGTTTCTCCACAGAGCAGTGTCTTGCTTCCACTAGTGAGTTGTGTTGATGTTGTTGCCGTTTAACAGGTTGGCTGTGACCTTGCTTAAGTTCTTTTCCTTCTGGAACTGAAGAATGAAGACTGCTCACAAGAATGAGAGTGTGTAAACTGTATAATCACTTTTTTTTTTTTAAATTATAAAAAGAAAAGCCATTTGCTGTTTTTGACACCCCAGTTCCAGATGAGTAGAGGTTCTTCATAATGTTATCTTGTAAGATCATGATCCTAGGGTGAGAATGGGGAGGACAAGGTATCTTTTTGCATTTCCTCAGACTATAACCCATTTGAGTTCAAGGGTTTTTTAACATGTATTATATCAGCTACATACTTGTCTCCACAATAGTGTTGAGGTAGATCATTTCTGTGTTCCGGCTTGCTCCTAACCTATCCATAGTTTCCTCTCTTGTGTTGGACCTCTGTTACTGAACACCAGGCAGACCACATTATAGATCTCTGATGTGTGTGCAGTTAATTAGGGGCTTTAGCTTTTGCATTTGTATGGGAGCCATTTCTAGCACGTGTCTGGTAGCAGTTTATATAGCACATGCCTGCTATGTTTGGGAGCACCTGGAGAACTTTTTCCCCAAGGGAGTCCCAGTGACTGGACATTCAGCCTGGAATGTCATTCTTTAATTAGTTTGGTAGAGATGTGTAGGGTATATCTTTAGGGAACTAAATAAGACTATTTTGCTGTTCCGCTTCCTTTGAACTTTAATTGGACTTATGAATCCAAATACCACTTAATGACCTTGCATATTAATTCTAGTGAGGAGCATTATTTAAATGTCTCACTTCCTAAAGAAATACAAATCTCCAACAAATACGGAGTTTCCCACAGAGTCTTGTCAGCTCTGCCTTGAGATAGGAATATGTGTGACTTTTTGGGACTTTTAGCTTATGATCAGAGTATTGGGCAAGGTCTGGGATAGTAACGAAGATTAAAGTGGATCAAGATGTAAATTACTTGAAGTCTGTTCAAGGCTTTGTTGTAGATGTTCTGTGAATTCTTGAGGAGGGAGAATCACATAATCTATTGTTAACTAGTCTCTTGTTACCTGCCTCGTATGATGATATTTTTCTCTGAACAGGAGTTGTAAAGATTGGATATATACTAAGTCCTTAAGGAGGCTGGATGGATGACTTAAATCATGAATTAGATAAAAGGAATTGATGTGCTCATGTTTCAGTTGGTAAATTGATCACACAGAAAATAGCTTAAGAGTTGTCTGTCAGCAAACAGTTGTTTGCTACTAAGTTGGGCTCTGTTTACTTCAGTATTTTCAAGATGACAAATTCTTCCCTAGGGCCAACAACATACACTGAATAAGGCTCTCTTCTTGGCTAATCCCTGGCCAGTTCCTCTACTGTGATTTTAGAGCCTGAAATATGACCTGTTAAGGGTAACTGAACAGACACAAGAAAATAAGCTTTGAAAAAGAATGTTTGATCAGAGCAGTTTAGTACTCATGAGGATTATCACCATATCAGAGAATAAAATAAGAGACTAGACAGCGCTTGCCAGTCACATACCGCTTTGAAAAAACTTGCGTTTACCGGAGTTTCTTGGAATGCTTTATGAAGTTAAGTCATGCCTTATAGGCTATGTAAAACTTAGTGACTTGTTACCAGCACAGACTTGGTGCTGCTAGGAGGAGGTTGGTTGGGACTTCTGAGGGAGCTTCTTTTCAGAAGAAATGCAGATTACATCATGTGCCAGAAAGTCTCACTTGAATCTTTCTTGTATTTCACATTGGCCTTTCAAAAATGATCAGTATTTCTGGAGATTACAGCTGGAAAGTCAGAAGTCAGTGATGAGCAGGGTCCTCTGTAATAACCAGCTTACATCCAGTTCTGTCTCTTCTGTTTGTGTCCCAGTAGTAGTTGTCTTGCCACTAGTTTTTGAGGGCAGTTTGGGAACTTCAGTAGGCCAATGCGATGAAGAGCTGTCAGGAACAGACATATGTCTTAAACTTAGGTGAACTCTGAAATATCTATCCTCCTTGCATTTTTTTTTTTTATGGTCATGGGCATCTGGGAATGAAAGTGGTAGTTCTAATCTGCTGCTTATTTTTGCATCTCTAGCTTTGCATTTGACATACTTCTTGAGAAATATATAGCTTATAAACTCTTAAACAACATGCTCACTCATTTTACATTACATGTGCTCAACAAATAATAAAAGCAGTAACTGTGGTGTGATCATCACCAAACAACCAATGCTATTGCGGCTTCCAATCCACTTAGCTTTGCAGGTAATTAATCCACTTAAAGAATCTTGAGTCTTGGGATGTGTTTTGGCTTCTCCATTGTGAAGAAATGTTTGTGATTTCATCATTTTTGTATTTTCCCATCTTTTAATTTTGTTCATATTTTCTGTTAGTTTCTTTCTGCTAGGAGAGACAAGCTATATGTATAGCAGATCCCTGACCAGAAACAGTGATTGTGAGGGGAGGAATGGCTGTCTCTGAGGAGTGGTTTTAGCATATCACTCTCTGGTTTATTCTTTTGCTTTTTTAA